TAATTATCCATTTAGAATCCAGTCCAGGAGGAGGATGTATATCATCACTGACAGTGAGGTCATTTCTACATTTGAACAAGACTTCAAGAGGAAAAGTGAAGTTAACTTGCTGCCCTGAAAAATGAATCAAAATTGGAAAAGCTTGAAAACATCAGAATACATATAAATTATCAAAGGAGAACAAAGACAAGTTTTTCCACAAAAGTCTTCTCCCCAGGCTATAACAATGCTTTTACATGGGCATGATCAATATATCCAGGCTTGTGAACCAAAGTCTTTTGGAATAAATTAGACTGGCAGGAAAAGAAACAAACAAAGAACAAATTAACATGATTTTAAACATTGCTTAAATTTTCATGAATGTAGACCTTGAGATGTTATGATGAGATCCCATGAGTCTGTGCTAATATTTGCTTATAATTAAGGACTGCACTTTCATGTTTCATCTGATATTATAGATTGGAAATCATCCACATACTTTTCCTTGGTCATACCAATAAATCTACTTTATTTGCTTACTTGGTTAATAATAAATATGATCCTCTAAATGGCCCCATTACTTTCCCTTTATCAAACTACCTCTTCTCCTTGTACCATAGTTCTCCCAAAGTCTGAGTGATCAGACAAGAAGTGTCCTTCCTTGCAATGTCATGTTTGTGTTCACCTCTTACAGGAAAGAGAAAAGATTAATCCATTTGACAGTCTGCTTTTTGTAGGAGATTTCAGAAAGAAAATCAAAGTAATGCAGTTTCATGCTTTGCTGTGTGTTGTCATGGAAGGGAGTCCCTCCAGGAAGGGAGCGAGCAACGCGGCCTGTCTCGTGGGGCGCCCTGGTGTGGGCTGCTGCTGAGGGGGAGGCGGCGCCACGCAGGGCCTCGTGCCGCCGCTGCGCCGCACCAGGCTTGCGTCACACCAGCTCAGCCACCGGCAGCTGCAGATTACAAATGCAGTTGTAGCTGCCTCATCACCATTTCTTCTGCAGATATCCCTGTGTAGAAAGAATTAGCAATGTTTGGCAAACTTATCAGCACTGATAGGTTTCTGAAGCAAGGGCTTAGCCGTGAACAGTTTATGAATATCTCAGGTTAATTTCAGAGAGAAAAATCTCATGATTCTTTGCCCCTCTCAAGAGTTCTCAATGTCTGTCCACAAATTTTTAATACTACAATGACTTCTGAAAGAATCCTTTGCTACTTATTGAAAGGATGGATTTTTAAATAGAAAGATCCTCTAAATAAGGCATATGAACTGCGCTAATCCTCTCCAAGACAAAAGATACCATGTAAAGTGTTAACTTTGGGTGTGTTGGGTCATGCAAAAAAAAGCATTTCTATCAGCCATAATGTAGCAAAGAAGAGGTGCATAGAAACTCCAAGTTGAAAATATATCCCAAAAATCAATCTGCAGTCTTTTGCAAACTGAGATTTGCAAACTGAGATTCTTGATAAAGATCACACTAGAGAAATTAATTCATATTAAGGCAGAAGTGAACCATCTCATATTTTGAATGAAAAGTCTTTGACTTTTTCTTAAGGTAAAGCAGATATTTTCTTAGAGCTTCCAATCTTGATTTGAGTTTCCATCATATTGCTCAATATTTTTTTCTTCTGACTGATCACTTTCATTATGTGCCTTATTTCTGGTCTGAACTTTTCTCCTACTTCTAGCCATTAGACATTTCAGAACTTTGTTTGTACAGTGAAGAGCCACCTACAATCAGAAAGTTTCCTTCTCTACAGGAATTTAGAATTGCTTTATGTCATCACTTAACTTTCTTTTGAAAAAATTAAATAGATTGGTAGATCTTCCTTAGTTTTTCACTATAAGGCAGGATTTCTAGTTTTTGTTCTCAAAACATTCTGAGAGTGTTTTCAACACCTTTTTCAAAATATCTTTGCATTCTGCAGTAGCACCTTTTTTCCTGTTTTTGTTGAGTATTCCTCTGCTTTGCCCCCAATCTGCTTCATACGCAGCAGAACATCCATGATATTTTCTAAGTCTCTCTTTGAGACACTGTTTTTCCAATTGCGTAACCTTGTGTTCTGAAAAACTCAAAAGTTTAATTCTGCATTTAGCTGAAAAGACATGTATTTTCAATACATCTGAGCACTACATGGCACTGGTCTATTATCTTGGGTTCTTATGCACCAGAGGAATAAAAAAGATGACCGGTAGTGGTAACAGAGGAATAACTAAAAGCTTCATCTGTTATAAATATAAAGTATTTATAGTCCATCAGATCTACCCATTTGCCAACCTTTAACCTCCTTCATTGTGAACAGCATTGATGTTGGGTTGTCCTCGGGGAAGCCTCTGTGGCAGCCAGCAAACCCGTGCGTGTCAGCGCTGGGTTCAAGTGCAGAGAGGAGAAAGGTGCCACAACCTCAGTTCCCCCTTTGCTTGCCACATCAGCAGGTCTCACTCACTTGGTAGAAAGGATCGTGCCTATTCTATGTTATTTCTGCACTGCAGCAAGGTTTTTACCAATAGAACATTGTTACTTGAGGAATTTCTGCTCTTGGTGTTACACAGGAAAAGCCCTTTTCCAGACAAAAGGAAGGCAAATATCTGGCATCAAATATGGTTGCTGAAGGACGTGCACATGCTTACCCTCCCATCTGGTCTCCAAATTTGCAGCAAACATAGGAGTTTGGGTGTATCAGAGGTGCTTGGCGCAATTTGGGTGCAATATAAACAATACTCTGTTCATGATATTGGTGCTCCTGCTATTGTTACTAAAATGACAAGTGGTGGGTTTTTTTGTTTTTTTTTTTCCCCATTGGTGGCCTTAAGTTTGTCATCAAAGTAGAATATTTCGGAGCACCGTTTAAAGCTGCGATTCAGCTGCTGAGTGTTGAGCACATGTTAATACAGTTTTCTCCAGATATGGTAGTTTATGATAAATGTTACCAGATTTTGTACTGCTCGTGTAGTATACTACTGCACTAAGACAAATGGACCCACTGAAAGGGTGTTTCCTTTGGAGGACACAAGCTGCAGACCACACATGGAATACGCAGAAATAATTAAGTGTCAGGATAAAAAGCTAAAGCAAAATGTTAGCGTCTCGGAATTATAATGAATGAAAGACATTTTAAAAACAAAGAATACCCATATAAATGTTTTGCAAAATTACATGAAGGCCATAACGGCATTTGGGGAAAGGAAAAAGGAATAGTTATTGTATTATAATACTTCACATATTTGTGTGCTTTGCATTTGTTTTTGGCAAGCTGCAGAGAGGTGTGAGATGTCACGTAGAGCTCTGTCTGATACTTTATTCATGTTAGCCTTTTGCTAGAATAAAAAAGAAAATTATTTGAGGAAGTTACTGCACAGTTTCATTGCTGTGAAAGAGAACTCACTGGGCCTTGAGACTGAAATCATTGCTAGCAAAAATGGCCAGTGCTGTTATCCTGGACAGAGAACTCTAGGACCTGTCTGAATAATTTTCATAGCAAACATATAGAAAATAGCAGATAGTTAGGAGGGGGTTTTAGAGGGAATGAAATTTCACCCATATCCTATCTAAATATTACACAAAAAAAAAAAAAAATCTAAAAACTTAGATATTACTTGAGCATCTAATTTCCCCAGAGTCTCAAGACGTGTTCTCTGAAACAGCATGCCTTGCCGTGTACAGGTGAGCAGCAAAGGGGCAGCGCAGCGCTCACCGTCTGCCGAGCAAAAAGCCCCGAGGTTTCCTGAACTTGGGAAGCAGAGAAATGAAACCTGGGACCTCAGAATTAGCAAGCACTATGAGCAAATGACTTAAAAGTTACTCTGTTTTATTAGAGAAAAAAAATCTGTCTCTTTTCTCTATAAAATTATTTGTATATTTGAGACCCAGTTCCCTGGTGGCCATTTGGTCTCTCTCAGGTGCTATGAGGGAACGTGATGGCGAGTGTGAGACGAGGGCCCTACTGTCCCACTCTGGGCGCAAGCATGGAGCTCCCAAGCTGGGCTCTGCGAGGGGAAAAATAAGAGAGAAAGTCTCTTAGACTAGCACTCATTTGGCTGAAAAGGCCTAAGTGCAACCACCTCCTTTACCTCACTCAGTAACTGCAGAGAAGTACTGTAGTTGCAGCCTGTGAACGTGAGTGTGCAGGAAACTGTAAGAGCGTCCCCTGTAATATTGCCTTCTCCTTAAGGCCATATCTTAAAAGTGGATATGTAAGATCCACTGCTTCTGCACATGCTGTGTTGACTTCAGTTTTGAAGTGCTTAAAGGAACTCATGTGCTGCTTGAGCTTTGTGCTGCTCCCCTGCTTTGGAGCAAGTTTTCTCTGCAATATGGGATGTATTCTGTGTATTGTGTATTTTTTCTTCAGTGCTACCAAACCCTCTTTTTTTCATATCGTCATTAAAATAGTTTTTATTTTTACCATGAAGATGAAGCCATCCCTTCTAAAATACTTCCTTCATCTTTAAACTCTGCTATCCAGATTAAGCAACTGTGTCTACAGCACATCACAAATTAAGAAGGTGTAATTCCAAGCTGACTCGATTACTCTGATTAGACAGAGACTCATGTCAAAAAAAGTAGCCTTTATTTATATAATAAAAATGATGATAATAGACTAAATCTCATCAGTCGAAGGACTTTATTACTGTCAACTCTAGAAAAACAGACTTGCAGCTCCTGGATGATATATCCCTGGGTAGTCACAATATACCTCATTTCCTGCTTATATAGTGGAAGATACCAAGATAAAGAATGAAAGGAATGAGGAACTGTGTGATACAAGTATGTGGAAGAATAAAAAACAATGTTATAGAAGTAGAAATGAAGTTCTCTTTAAAAACTCTGTTTGGAACTAAGTATCAAAACAGAAAAAAAGGATCCCAAGTTTATGTGTACTCACTTCAAATGGGACAGATTTGCTATTAAATCCAGGACCAAACAGGACAGAGGAAAGCACTGTTTATAGACTAAAATGCACTAAGATACTCACTGCACCTGGCACAGCTTAAAACTAAATTGTATTTTCTTACTATAGGTTCAGAAAACTGTCTTGAACAGAAGCTGAGAACACCTCGTCGACGATGTCAGCAGCCCAAAATGCTGAATAGCCCTGAGGACAACATGTACTATAACCAGTTAAATGTGAGTTCAAAGTGGCAATAAAGCTGTTTTACTGGCTTTGTTTCCAGTTAATAATTCTGTTATTAATACCTGTTTCAGCCCCTCCAGCCCCACCCCCACGTTCTTCTGCTCTCGTCTTGAACATGTGCTTATGCTCTTTATCTGTTGCTTTCATGTCAGGATGTCTGCCTTCACGGTGAATAATTGATGTGGTTTATCAAAGACGAGCAAGATGCATGCTTCATCAGGCTCACTTGAGCCCTTTGATCAAAAAAATTATGCTGTGACTTCTGATATTATCAGCATCTGCTTGCATTCAACACAAAATCACTTTGAATTAAAAATTAACGACTTGCTGCTTTGCTTTGACTGTGTGTTCTTGGCCCTCTCCACAGGGAACTCTAGAATATCAAGGGAGCAAGAGGAAGCCAAGAAAACTTGGGTAAATATCTATCTTCTTAGTTCTAAGCAACTGTAAACAGAAGTAGTCCTTTGTGATATTGCAGAATATGCAAAACTTTCTAGAGAGGTTTCTAAAAATAAACAATTAACATATCTCTGTGCATTGACATTGGACATCTTCTGCAGACACAAATATAAAACTTGTATGTAATGCTGTCTGCAGACACTAGAACTGATTCTAACAAAATATGCTTCCCAGCACTCTCAACATACTACTACAAAACCAAAGTTAGCCTTCTTTGTGTTGTTAAATGTATTTAACACTAATGACAGGTGTCAGATGAAGGGTTTCGAAACTGAGCTCCTGTCACCTGGAGCGTGCAGAGAAGCGCCGGAGCTCTGGAGCGCTGCGCTGGCAGCGTGCGCCAGGCCGCCTCGGGAGCCCCTTCCAGGAGCTGACACGGGGCTGCTCTGCCCCAGCAGCAGTTGCTGCTTCTCCGCCTGGCGAGGCCAGCAGGCAGTTGCTGTTCTCACATAGGCAGTTATCACTTAGAAATAGGTAGAATGGGTAAAAATCACTGAATGCAGTTCACAAAACTGGTTACTGCACCGTCACCAAAATATTTCACTTCTCGATGACCTGGGTCAGAGAGAACTGAAGGATGCTGGATCTTTCAAAAGCATCTGTTGCAGTTATATATATAGAATTTTCTATATTATATTCTCTGCTTTTCATTCATATTTTGAAGACTGAAAAGCAAGTCTTTGAATCAGGAGTCAAGCCCAGAATTTTGCATGACTGTACAAATTTTGATTTATTTGATTTCCCTCACCTTTTTTTTTTTTTCATGTGGGGAAAAGGGTTTTTTTCATCAGGGAACAAAAACACTAGCATAAACTGCAGCACTCACCTTGCATCACAGAAAAATGAAGGCCCCTTGATATCTATTAGGCTTCATCATAAACTGATGGTGTGATTGTGTGATTGTTGGCTCATATTAATAGCAATCCATCTATCTAAATCATACCCTTTTTATGGAGTATGCACAAATAAAAAGGCTACAATGCTTAGCTGAAGTACACAGCTGATACAAATATGTGGTCTAGCTTTCTGTTGCCCTAAAAAACAAGGACTGTTTTTCCTTCCGCAGATCCTCAGAACCATTCAGATTGTAACAGTAAGAAAAGAGAAGTAAAGAACATTTATAAAAGCTGCATCTTTCTAATCAATACATATTTTTCTTTATTGTATTAGTATTTTTTATTCACGGAGAAGTTTCTATTCCTTAAGATACTGATGGAAAACTGTTTTTAAATTAGTCAATGTTGTTTGTTTTCTTTCAAGCCAAATCAAAGTGCTTGATGGAGAGGATGAGTACTACAAATCATTGTCAGTTGTTGAATCTATACCTGAAGATGAAGGTTCCCTTAGTTCCCCATCTCCTTCCTCAAGAGGAGTGTCTTTTGCTTGGAGCTGAACTTCACAAACTCTGTTCACTTATTAATGCTGGTAACAGTATTTTCAAACTGGTAATCTCTTCCAATTAACTTTTTGCATGTGTGTTTACATAATGTATTAATTCCAAGTATTAACTTTCTTTCACTAATGTAGGCTGTTTTTTGCAGATGTAAATTGTCCCATGTAGCTGAATTTCTGTAAGCAGTACCTCTAAAGGGGAGCAGCACTATCTGTATGTGTTGATACTGGCCACAGACGCACTTCAGCAGCAAGGTTAGCTCATACGGATCCGGCTCCTTGTCCCCTCTCCCCGCCAGCTGCTGTTCCCACCCTGTGCCATCCCTTCTGTTGTGCTAGCACAACTGCTCGTAGAGCTGTGTGGAAAATATGACCAAGGAACTGGTCTGGAAGCATCATATGGGGTCACAGTCAAAATGTTTTATGTTTCGTTAGACTGATTTAGAACATTTTGTGTTATAACTTCCTGTGCTTTGTGTGGCTTTTAACACTACAAAAATGTAGAGGGTAAAACAATCTCAAATGATGAAAGTGTAACTCAAAAATTGCCTCATGTTTTTTTCTTATAAAGTATTAGTTTACCATAAGTTTAACTCAAAAAATGATTCCAAATATAAGAAGCAAAGCAGTTTTAGAGATGTCATTTGATGTTTTTACACTCTACACAACCAGTTATGATTCAATATTCTTGTCCATGCAAGTATTTAATTTCTTTCCTAACCTCTATCTCTGTGCTCCAGTGATTGCTGTATTTCCATGGCCCTCTTGTATGTAATAGGAAAAAAAATGTCAACTGCATTTTTTTCTATTCACTTTTAATGTTTTCCAAATCATTAATGAAACAATATATGACTTCCTGTCGAATTCCAATGTCAAATACTTTGCTGGTAAATTTTTCCATGAGGAAGACTGCCTGTTTCGTCATACTCTTTACCTTCTGTTTCTGAGCCACAATTTTTAAATGTGACAATTCTTTGTTTCTTTTCCAAACAAACACTTACTAAAAAGTCTTGGAAATCAAATTTACATGTATGCACCACCTTATTAATTATCTCAAAATCACTTTTTTGAAGGAACCATACTGATTAAATTTGACTGTGTTTGATACAGACTTGAGACCTGTGCTTGTCTTTGTCCCTTCTTGAGCAGGTTTACCAGAACTGTGCTAGCAAACCTTCTTCCTTGTGGCCGTGCAGTCCACTCTTGTTCTTGAGCTACAGTATTTCTTGTTGTCAGGAGTTCCCTGCAGTGTCCTTTTCATCACAGGTCAAGGAGATGGCAGAGGAGATAAGGGGCAAGTGTAGTTTGAACATCCATAAAGATGATGGAAGTAAATGGTAGTCCAATACAAGCTTTATTTCTCCTAAAACACAGTAGTGAAGGCATGCAGATGAGGATGAGAGGATTCAGCTGTTCAAAAAAAGAACAACTCTTGCCTCATTTTCCACCTAGATTTGTGACAAGATCAAAAATAAACACTAAAATTCCGCAAGAGAAAGAGTTTTTTTGGTCATTCTCCACTGCTACACATGCGAGCATGAGTTTTAGAACCTTTACAACTTAAGGACTCCTTAAACATGAGAGACTTGGTGAATAGCTGCAGATGAGTTAATGATACTAGAAAATACAGTACAAATAAGTGTAGTAACTAATACAGTGAGTAGTAACTAACACAGATGTGTGCATGCAGATCAGTTTCTTTACATTTCATCAAAATGTAATGAGTATTCATTATACTGCATCCATGGAAAATAACATGCAACTTTTCTTTCTTTCTCATAATCCATGAAGTCTTCTAGTCAATTGATTGCAATATATCTGAATGGAAAATAACCTTATCTTGAAAGGAGTGAGATAATCTTTTGTGTTCTTATACTGACATAGATCATAGGGAACTCTAATGATGTGAGTGCTTTGTGGTTCAATTCCTCCTTTTGGAAAACTGTGGGAAAATAAAGTGTTAGTGTTAATGCAAAGCATATCATTATTATGTGTAGTTAATCAGTTTTTTCTGCTAGGTGGTAGTAAGGCTTCCAGTCAGGTATTATGTCACCTGTCCAAAAGCCAAAAGCACCAAAATGCAGCTTGAGTACCTTATACCGAGTGATGCATTACTCGGAGTAGTTTTATTAATTTGAAGTAGAAATAATGTGAAGTAGAAGTAATGTGCAGTGAAAAATCATATATAATTCAGTGATGCACTTACACCAAAGCATAAGTCCCACTGAAATCAATGGAATTTCAGCACATGATTTAGTGCTTTGCTGAAGGGGGACCCAAGGTAACAAGAGCAGCTTCAGAGCATTAAATAGTGAAGCACAAGGAAAATGCAAACAGTCCTTAGATATCTTTTTTTCTTCTTAGTTGTTAAGCTTGCATTAATCTCAGTAATGGACTTTAAAGAACTTTCATACCATATTTTGGAGCACTCTTTAATTGTATGGAAAGGGTAAAATACAGTGTTCTTGTTACATGCAGCATCACTATCTACATCTGGTAGTATTTTTTTCTAATGAGCTAAATATCTTTTTTTTTTATGTTGCAGTTACTGTTTAAAAAAAATGTTCTATGTTCTCATTCCTGCTACTTCTTGGCTAAGAACTGTTCAGAAAGCCAGACTGTGCACTGCGTTCATTCAGAACCTGTCCCCTCTTTCTTGAGTGTTTTTAGACCCCATTCAGTCGCCTTTTCTCAGCTTCATTTTAGAGCATATGGGTGCCTTTATTTCAGAACAGTCATCTTATTAAATATCATATCATGAGTTTGGTCTAGAGTACACTGTAATTGGCTGAAGAGATGAATTTTTGTTGCCGCTTTGGAAGATGCATTTGTTGAGCTGATTGAAGAGGGAGTGAATAGAGAGATGAATAGGGAGGTGGCTCAGATGTCTGTCACCTGAAGTGCTTCTTCCAAAATTCAGGTGTGCATCGCTGCTGCGGTGCTCAGGAGCGTCTTTCTCTATCACACTGCATCTGCCAGAGCTGCTGGCTGCATCTCGGAGATCTTGCCGTACTCGGCGCTGCAAGGGGTGTCACCATGTTGTGCTGAGCAGCTGTCCTGGAGGCATCGTGAGTGTTCAGCCATCAGCGCTGGGCAGTCTGTCCCACCAGGAACTGTATTTAGCTCAGGCAGTATTTGTGCTGGGTTGTGCGATAAAAGTAGGGTTGTGCAAAAGTAGGGTTGTGCAATAAAGGTAGTATTTTGTGAGGAAGCCTGCTCAGAAGCCTTTGCAGGAACTCGGTGAGACCAAAGAGCTGCCAGTTAGTGCAGAGCAAAGGTTCCTTGCTCCAGTGGCAAGAACTGGCCCCATTTAGGAATGGAGTTTCTTACAGCAGGAGCCGGGAGCTTTCCTGCAGCGCTGGCCCTACATGAGAGCATCACACGGAGCACGTGCAGTGCACAGGGAGCCTGAGAGCCAGGAGCAAAGGACCAGCAGCAACGTTTATCTGTGTGAGGCGATAAAAAGCCTCTCACTGGCCCTGATTAAAGCACTGTGCTACTGATAACGAGTTGGTGGAATGGATAGCAGTTAAAATGCAAAAATAAAATGGATTTTAAAAAGATAATTTCAAAAATAGATTGGTAGGATGTCATAAGAAACAGGGAGAAGGAGTACAGGAGGCATGTTGGCTTGTTACAGTCAGAAGGAGCATATTGATGTGAATTGCTTAGATTTTCTCATTTGGTTTTGAAACTATTAAAGCATCACTCTGATTTATTTATTTTCACTTATCTGGAAATATTAATATATTTAATAGTTCATAATATGACCTGTTCTTAATCACTTATAAAAGCAAAGCATGTAAATCATGCTTTGAACTGGCTACACAGAAGAAAAAAATATTAGATAGTGTGTAATAAAACAACCCCATTTGAGAAAATGAGAGAGAAAAGGATGAAGTTGAACAAGGTATTTCAGTAGATTTGCCCTATAGACCATAATGGTACTAGGAACAGATTCCTGCTGAGGACAATTTCTACTTTTCAGCTGTGGTTACTTGAAAACTCTGTGCCAGCAGGAATCAGGCGGGGAGCTTTGGGAGATTGATCATTTTCATTTGGTAATTTTAAACTTGCTTCTCACTTAAACATTTACGTTGTTCTTGTAACATAAAGGGACCTTAGAGTGTGAGTAAATTGCAGCTATCTTAAATTCTCCCCCACGGTGACATCCCTCATCCTCACTTTCAAAGTGGTGGAAAGGCTGTGAGTCACTAGAGGTCTTTAAAGTGGCCCTTGTCATGACATCCAAGGAGTCCTTGCTATTTTGGAGCTTAAACAATTTGACTATAAATTATATAAATCTGTAGAGTTTGCTAAGTTCAATTGACGTAAAGGTTGGTACACTTTTTCATAAAAATAATCAGAACCAAATTTTTCAGAGGCAGATAGAAGAAGTAATCCACACTGGACACTTCCATGATCATCTTCCTAGAAGTATCCTTCTAGGATCCTAACATAATTTAATGTTAGGAAAATTCAATTTCATAATTTCATTGAAAATTTCAGTACTAGGCAACTACTGGTCATCTTATGTCACTTAACATAGATGCTAAAAAGTTCTGAACTTTTCTTTTGTGATAGTAAGGTCTACACATCGGCACATACATTCTTCCTTCTCAATGCTATTTTTTGTCTCAAAAGGGGAAGAAAATCCTGGGAGACAAACAAACTCTGGCATCTTTAAATATCTCTGGTTAGCCAAATACTTAACAGTACATTTGGCTAGGAATAATGCTGGAGGACAGAAAAGTACCATCCCATAAGGAACAGTTAAGTAAGTTTAGCTCCAGTACATATACTAGGCACGACATGTAATAAACATATCCACCCTACTTTTTAATTCTGACAACCAAATACTAGAAATGGTGTCAGATGTGGCTCTTAGTGCTGGAAACACGTTTTGTAGTGTGCCTGCTCATCACGGCTGCTCTGCCTGGGAGGAGCTGCCACCGGTCACTCAGTTAAGAGAAAGGGTCGCTGCTTGGCAGAGAGGCGGCTCCAGCCTGGCAGGAGCAGCGCGAGGCAGGACGGGCGCGGGGCTCGGAGCCGTCCCCCAGGCCAGGCACGCTCAGGGAGACGCTCCGTGTCTCCTGGGACCGGCCCTGGGAGCTGCCACAGGACGAGGCCCACAGCCTGCAGCAAGGGCGCTCAGAGCCTTCCCGCACCGGCTGCTGCCGTGGCCCACATTAACGGATTGCTTGAGAATTACTGGAAAATGTTTCATTACATGTGTTAGAACAATTAATCTATATGTAGTCTGTGTTATCAGGGAAAAGGTCATTGTAGCAGTCATGCTTCCTAGTGATAAAGGCAGGTGGGAAAAACATCTTGGAGTTATGTTTCCAGAAGCAAGATTACATATTATTGACCAGACCAGCAATACATTAAATTCCTTTATTCTTCTGGACAAGGTTATTTTTTAACTAAGTTGCAGAGAGATTATTTTTGCACAATTTAATCGCATATTCTAGGACAGTTGGCAAATGGAGGTGGAAAGTCGGTAGGCCAAGATTTTTGCATTCTCCTGCAGAAGGTCCAAGTCCCCATTTGTGACCCATCACTAGGGGAGTTTAGCTGGAAGGTCTCATGCTGGTGCCTCGGTGGAGCTGAGCCGCCCTCGGGCTGCCCCTGGGCAGGAGGGCAGTGCTGCCGGGAAGGAGTGGGCGAGGGCGGCCTCCCTGGCGCCTCTGCCAGCACTGCTGTATGGGGCATCCTCGCCCGCTCCACAGCCTGAAGCCGGCTGCCGGGGCGAGGGGGAGGCCGGGCCGGCGGCAGCGCAGGGATCCTCTCGGGTCCGGGGGCACCGTGGTGGGGCAGGGTGCGAGTGCCCTGCGCCCAGCCGGAGCAGCAGGAAGTGCCACCTTCGCCGTACTCTGTCACGTGCTTTGTCCGGGCTCTTGGGTGGGTGCTGCTGCTCCTGACCGCACACAGTCCAGGCACCTGGCGGAGTTAGTGATACAGAGCCTTCCCTGGCAGCCTGGCCTCTGTCTGACTGGGACTGCAACAGCTCTGAAACAGAAA